GGATGGGGCTTGGAGCAGCCTGGGCTGGTGGGAGGTGTCCCTGCCCATGCAGGGGGCTGGATCTGGATGATCTTTAAGGTCCCTTCCCACCCAAACCAGTCTGTGATTCTATGCAGACAGGCTCCATCCTGCTTTTGATGCCCCAGCATGATTTGTGGCCATGGATGACTCTCCTTGGGCAGAGCTGTGGCCAGGCAGGCAACAAGGTCAAGAGCAGGATAAACCTATTCCTGGAGCAGAGCTGGACACTGCAGGAGGCAGGCAGAGGGGATTGTCTCCTCTGAGCTCTAATTCCTGCTCCCGATGGCTTTGCGGGTCACTGGGTGCCCTCCCAGCGTGTGTCCAGTGCTGGGGAGGGTGGCTTGGGGACTTGTTGGCCACACTGGCCACGGGGCTTGTGCTCAGCAAAGAGCTCTGGGTGCCTCCTGCGGGCCCTGGTCCGAGCGGGGGATATTGTTAGATGACAGATGCTGCTGTCAGCAAGAATCCAAAAAGAAAGAAAGGAAGAAAGAAAGAAAGAAAGAGGAGCCTCCACCAAGAGAGCCGGGGGGGGAGCTGCCTCCTCTGCCATGTCCTGACCAAACCGGGTTCTCCTGCAGTGCCAGACTGGGGAGGGCCCGGGGACAAACGGATGGGGTGGAAGCCAGGAGCTGTAATTAGCCCAGAGCCTCTGCAGCCACCAACTGCTGTCAGTGAACCATTTTAATTAGGAAAGCAAGGGGGGAAATAAAAGGGGAAGGAAAGAAAAAGGAAGATCCCAAGAGAGGCTTTTCTTCTCTTTTTTCCCCCCCCTACCCGGAGTTTTTGCCGTTCCTGCCTAGAGCAGGAGCAGCGGGAGCAGCCGGAGGGCACCGGCTAATCCTGCCTCGCAGGTCTGGGCTGGAGGCTTAGGGCAGGAATCTCTGGTATTCGGGAGCACGGGGGACAAAACGGGCACACTCGAAGCTGCAAAGTGGCTCCCGGGGGGGCCTCTTGCTTCCCCAGGCAGTTCCCAGGGGGGTGGGAAGTGTCTCCCCCCTCTCCCAGGGTGGCAACGTGTGCGTGCGGAGCTGCTCGTGCTTCTCCAGGTACCTGGGGCCAGTTGCACAAGGATAATGTGGCCAAGCCCTTGCCCAGAGCTGCTGGGGACAGCTCAGCTTCGGGCTGGCGCTGAGCACGTCCCACCTCTGTTGATGCTCAGATCCCTCCAAACCCCATCCCTGATCCTGCTCTCCGACGGGGCAAATCCCAGCGAGGTGGTTTTGCAAGAGGAAGGTCACACGTGGGCTGGAGCCACCATCAAGTGGCCTCTCAAGAGGCCACTGGCACTGGGGCGAGCCCTGGCAGACTGGGATGCTCCTGGGCTGTGCTCCCCCCACCCCCCCGTGCTGGGGACACGCTCCTGGGGGGCTGCCCAGAGCCCCACAGCGGTGGTGAAACCGGCTGAGATGGCATCATTGTGAAGCCGGGAAAGCCAGATGAGCTGGGAAAATCCAGCCCCACAAGTCCCGAGCCGTGGGAAAGCATCGTGGCCGTGGGGTGCAGGGGCCGGTGACTCAACCCCGGCTGCTCCAGGACCCGCTCCGGGGCTTCATCCTCGT